ATTGTTTCATAGGCCTCCAGGAAATGTTCAGTAGAAATCTACCAACTACCTGAAAAAATAGCCTAAAAACTCAGACCAACAGCATCAGGAATTGAAGCACTGCAACGTCAAGCTTTTGTCAAGTCTTCAGCATATAGGCAGAGATTTCTTTACAATACAGCCTCCAACATACAGGTGCAACATGTACTTTTAGTGCATTTAGCATTAGAAGCACAGTGCAAGGTGATGTGCAAATAAGAACTCCTAAAACATCAAACCGCTTCCCTGCCACGCTTCAGCAGTACCATAGAACCAGCTTGCAGCTATTCCTAAACAAATTGTTCCAAAATAACACAGCAATTCCAAACCTGCCAACATGCCAGGCCACCTCAGCAGTGTCAACCCCACTGTAAGCAAGGGGAGTGACATCCACACAGCTCCTCTGGCTCAGTTAGCTCAGTGACATCTGCTCCCCCTGCTCCCACTGACATTACCCCAGTGCGCATATGATGATAGTAAGGTTCAGTAGCTTTTACCTGTGTATTGTCTTAACGTGTTTGACATCATCATACCCAAATTGGCAATTTCTTACCAGATCAAGTAGGATTTTGATACAAAACTGGTAACAACAATGCCAGCCATCAATTTTGTATCTACACAGGCACTTCCCTGAAACTATATAAATAGACTAACCAACTCATTACCAATGTAGCAATGCCTTAGGATAGACTGCCCTCAGGAGGCCAGAATGAAGTCTCTTCATGGACGTAACACTCGCTCACTCAGCACGCAGTAACTCAGCAAAGTTCATATGCTTGTGTTACCATAAAAGAAAGCCTGCAGAAGCTGTCGCTCACAACAGCTCCTACTCATAGCTGCAATATTTAAAGAACAAACAAGCAAACAAACCAACCCTCACCAACAGTCTGTGTTCTGCTAGAAATTTCTACTGATGATAATCATAGAATCACAGACTGGTTTAGGTTGGAAGGGACCCTTAAAGATCATCTGGTTTCAACCCCCCTGTCATGAACAGGGACACCTTCCACAAGACCAGGCTGCTCAGGGCTCCATCCAGTCCATGAGTTGCAATATGTGCCTCAGAAGCAGGAAAAGACTACAGCAAGTTCTAAACTACAAACACATTTCTTGAGAGATGATAAGCAGAAGGAAGGCTCCAATGACCTATCATCTAGGAGAAAGGAAGCATGAGAGCAGTCCATCATCTTCCCAAACACTGGAAAAGTGCAGAGAAGAGATACAAAACAATAAACTTTCTAGGCCTACAGTGTGCTCCAACTGAAGCCCAGAACATGCAAATCTCACTACTTACAAAGTTTAAACTGAATCAAATGTCAACAGAACGGTTTTAAGCTTCCTAACCTGGCAGTGACAAGGCAAGGCATGTAAATGAGTAAATACCACAACACACAGTCTTTTAGCAAGGATTTCACTTCTGAAGCAGGAATCCAGCTGAGTTAAAAAACCCTAATCAATAATTCTGGATGAATCAGAAAGGGGCTGCTGTACAAGAGGAGTGTGTGCTGAATTAAATGACAGCTGCAAAAGCAGCCACCCTCAAAAAGAAATTCTGGGAGATGGTGAAAGGCCACGTAGGTACCATTGTGGGGCAGGAGAAAAGATAGATCTGGAATAAAACGTGGACTAAGTTAAAGACCAGACCTGAGTAGCAGCTTTCTTTAAAATGCTCCCAAAGGCAGATGATGAAGTTTCAATGCATGCTTGAAAACAGCTGTAGGAAGAGGGGCATGGATTCTTTAGGAACTGCAGAAACATGGAGTAGTGGGAGTTTGTAAAATAGTTCATCCTAAACAACAACAAGAAGAAAGTAGGAAGATGTATTTAAGAAAAGATTATAGGAATTTTAAGCAAGATAGCAGGTGAAGAAACATCAGATGAGTAAGAGCATATGCTCTCACTTCCACTAGGAATGGAATCACAGGAACTCTGTATGTCTATTAAGAGAGTGTACTGAAGTTTCCCAAACTCAATTGAGAAGCAATGGTAAGCCAGTCAAGCATACAGTGCTACTCAGGAGCACCCACATGGAAAAAAAAACAAACTCAAACCATTTCTATGTAACTTGGCTTACATGCTAGCAGCACAAGACCTGTCTGTTTCTAAATGATGGACAGTGACATAATAGGCATACCAGAAACATGATGGGAGCAAGACAAATAAGCAAGACATTGATACAAAATACATAGGAAAGTCATAATACTACATACCAATATATTAGCTCATCAGATCACGTATGGATTCAATTTCCATGCCCTATAATGTAAACTCTGCTGTTAGACAATATTATTAGCCACACAATTAGGATGATGGCGGTAGCTATGACATCCAAGATCTGTAAGGCTAGCAGTGTAACCATCATGAAAGACAACACTTACCAGGAGGTTGGATACATGTCACACTGAACTGGCTAGGACTGATTTTTTAACATACTTTTTCCCTGCAACTGATCAGGGCCACCCACCTCTGGCTGAGTCAAGGCGCTGTTTCCAAAGACTGGCTTTGGGTGGTTCTATTTCTGCAAGAATACTGACCAAGTTGACTAGACTTCCATAAAAAGGAACATCATAAAATAAGGAAATATGCTAACAAAACTAAACAGACAAGTCAAAAACTAAGATGCAATGCTTGATGACAACACTGAGATTGTACACCCCGAACTTCAGTGTGACTTTAAATACATGCACCGAACTGATTTGGTTTTGTGGGGAGAGGGAAGATGACCTGGATTAAAAGCTACCAGAATTTAAAAGCCAGCCTTTGCAAAAACAGCAGTCCAGCTTTTGCAGTCAAACGGAATTGGTCACTGAATGTAAAATTTATAGGCAGATCAGCACACACAGGAACAATCTACAGATGCGCATCCACATCCAAACACTGCCTCAGGAACAGGAACCTGCCTAATAAGGCAAGCAGATGATCAAAATAAAAAGCAAAGTGTTCAGGGAAGGCCACAGAGAAAAAAAGTCCCCAAACTCTGAACAAAACCTGGAATCAGAGTTTGGTGCCATGCGGAACTTGATGAAGGGTTTACCCCTCAGAGCAAAACACCAGCAGAGTTACGGAGGAAGAGTGACAAACAGCCAGGGCTGGGGACTATCACTCCCTAATTCTAAAGGAAACTTCTGGGTTAAAACTGCCTCATTATCAAATGACTGGAAAATGGGAAAAGTGACAGCAAGCTTTTGGGAGTTTAGTGGGTGAAATGATCACTTGTTTTTTCAGAAGAATTTCCAGAGGGATGCAGGAATCTACAGGCTAATTTTATTTTTCTGTACTTAGCAAACTGCCAGAAATTTTTCTAAAGCCATAAAAACAAGTCAGTAAACATATCTAGGAAAGTCAGAGTTGCTTTTGCAAAGGCAAGTCATGTTTGATAAACATTTTAGAGCTCTTCTGAAGACTAAAAAGAGATGAGAGTAAGCAAATCTAATGGAGCATACTTAAAATCCTGAAAGGCATTTGACATACTCCCCTGCCAAAAACCATTAAAGATGCAGTGCTGCCAAGAAGAAGGAGCTGTTGTATCAGTAAATTGTTTAAAGATAGAAAAGGGTGTGAATCAGCAGTCATTCTTTCCTAAGGACATGGACTGCCAACAGACCACCACAATCACCTATGCTGGGGCTAGCAAAGTACAACCTATTTATAAGGGTTCTGAGACAGCAATTTCTGAAGCCCACAGTACATTCCAGTAGCACAAAGTTACTTAAAGTAATAAGGGGATGAAGGAATTAAAATAATTGCAGAACTAAGGAAATCGGTGTCAGAACCAGCAGACTAAATTCACTGTAGATAGATGAGAACAATTCACACTGGGGAAATACAAAAAATCAGACCTAAATACATAGGTAAGGAAATAGACTCCAAGTTGACCACTAATCATTCAGGGCCGAGTTACTGTTCTTAAATAGCTTCTGAAAACGTAAGTGTAAAGGCTAGGAAAAGGCAAAACAATTAGGCATTATTTCTGGAAGCAACATAAAACAAAACATAGAATATCCTATGGTTTGTTGGTTTATATTTTTTTTTATAAATTCAGGTTTTAATCACACATATAAACTAAAAACGTCATTACAGTAACTTATTTAACATTCCCTTACTCAAAAAAACGGGATAATAACAATTAGGGTCAGAACTCACTACAAGGAAATTATTTCTAGCTTCTTACCTTTGGCTTCCGGTCAAGACATGTCACACAGGCTTTGCTTACAACATACTAAGGACAGGTATGGGCAGCAGCCAAGTTACTGACATATTACCACTCAACTAGTAAAAACAGGAGTACCAGCTGTCTTTCCCCACCTTTTTCTGAAGGCACCTCCAGTGCCTTTCAAAAAGAATCCATCTATTCTCTGACCAATTCTTTCTATTAAAGAGAAATATAATTAGCAATTACATTCTTGGTGCAAAGACAGCTTTGTGTCAGCAAATAACATCAGCAACAAACACCACCTCTCTACAAAGAGATAACAGTAAGATAAGGACTGCTGGAAGAACTACCTTAGCGATATTTTATATTCCAAAGTCGTAACACAACCAACTGTAAAATCCCCTGAAAACACAACCATTCCTTATACTATTTCTCAATACATACCTGCGAGAAGCTTGAACATGTGCTGTTTTCTGGCCCAAAGACAAGATTTCTCAGCAGCACAAAGGAAGAAAACAACAGACTTTAAAAAGACACAAAGTTATCATCAATGATATCTCTTCTTTCTGTACTTTGGTTTGTGCCAAGATGGGAAGCAATTTCGAAACCTGAATCAACATCTGGATCATCATGCAATGAACACTGGAGCTAAAAAGTGAAGGTCCTAAACCACATTCATAGTTTTCTTCAGAGATGATGAAAGCATCAATTATCAAGAATTACTTGATCTCAATAGAAAAGCCTGAGGTCAACTTTTTGGTAATTTTTCAGGAAAGGAGAAACAGTCAGGATCATTTACAGCTGAATAATTACTCTGCTTCAAAAGCTGTTTTGAATAAAATAAATGGTTATTTTATTGACTATACATACATATTAAAAAGCATCAACACAACAGTTGAGCTGAGTGTTCAAGAAGATATACAGCAAAACACCTTGACTCCACACTTTGAAGTGATATGTGTTTTTTAAACATCTACTGAGTCACTGAAAATTCTTTTGTGCAGCAAGGTCTGCAGCTGTATTGCTCACACCAGTGCATGTGCAGATCAAACTCAGAATATTACAGAAATCAGCAACTCCAACAATGAAGCAACAGTCCTTCAACGTATATAAACACACACAAGTGCTACTGGATTGAGTGCTGTACATACATTCAAGAAAGGGATCAAGCAGGTTCTGTCTTTATAAAAGCATACTGCATATAATTAAATGTCCTAAAGGCAATGCAGGTATACTTAAGAACCAGAAGTTCACGGCTTTGTAGTGTTAGCTACAGACAAACAAAAACCCAAAGGAAACTTTGTAGGGACTAGCTGAAGAGAATAAAAAATTATGCCATTTGCAGTCTTTGCCCTACATGAAGAGCTTGATGCAATCATATGTGCCAACCAATAAACATGCCTCCACACTCTATTAACTTTAATGTAACATGATCATTTGAATAAAATCTCCACTTTATCCCAAATTCAGAATATGACTTCATGAAAATATAGCGCTTTAAAAAAGTATCAGCATGTTACTTAAAACTATCACCATAGTAAAAAAACAGATCTTTTTCAAACTGTTACATACACAATTGCCTTGTGAAATCACAGCCTTGTCCTCACAGAACTTTCTTTCCAGGCTCTCTCCTTTTACCGCACACACAGACTTCATAATACCAAATGAACTCTTTCAGGTAGCTGAATATACACACTGGACTTTAACACTGCTGAATTTCTCTTCCGGCTAAGTAATGTCAAGTCAATTACATATATCCATCTTCAACTGATTTTCACCCCTCTCCCTTTGATCAATATAGATACGTATATTACCAAAGTCGGTTCTTATTGAAGGTAGTATTTAAGTCATAAGCTGCAAGCCCCCATCTACAACCAGAATACTCCCTGTAACATAAGGGGTCTCTAGAAGAAAGACAACAGCTTGTGCAACTTCACGAGGCTCTCCAAATCTTCCAAGGAGAATTGCTTGCTTCAACTGATCTTCTTCCAAATGAGCAGTCATCTCTGTGTGAATAAAGCCTATGACAGGAGAGATATTTGAAGAGTTACCTAACCTTCAACTAAAATTCTTCAGTGGATTTTCCCCAGAATGCTCCAAAGTGAAATGTACTACCAGGATTCAGCACCACCTACCATTCTTCAAAGTCAGTCCACATCATTTTATGGCTAAGACCAGTTTTTTACCTAACTATTAAAATGTCTTCTGTTTTTGGGAGCACTGATGTAATAATCAAAAAACACAGATCTATAAAAGTCTTTTGGTTTTGGGGTTTGGGTTTTTTGTTTTGTTTAAAAATGGGTAACTAAAATTGGGTCCCAAGCCCATATTTAGTATCACTTTTCTGAAAGATAAAATACACTCATTTCACCAAAACATTCTCAATAAAAACACAAGTATGGAATCTCTGGGAAAAAAAAAAAAACAAAACAAAACACAACAAAAAAACCCAAAACCTACAGCTTGCAAGTGTTTCCGTTACATTTTAGAACTTACAACAGCATTTGAATAATTTCTATTATAGCACTCATTTGAAGAATATTGCTTGACATTTTTAAAGGACATTTCTGTCCTTTAAATTTTCAGTTACCTGAGATTCAGTTTTGCCTGCTGCACTTCTCTTCACGTAAGCTGCAGCTACATGAAGAGCTGATTTTACCTGCTTTCTTGCTGCCACCAAGAAGGTAAAGTCTCCATTTTGCTTTCCACTGCACAACTCTGCCCCTTTATGATGGCTCTGGACCCTTCAGTGAGCTGCTCAACTCACTAAACAATGAAGGCTTATTCCTGCCTTAGTACACAAGCTAACCTGGTTTATGTAGCGGTCTGAAAGGCATCAGAGGTACCACAGCAGAATACACAGCTGTGAGTGGAAAAAGTCAGAAAAAGACAGAAAAGGTTTTTCCTTATGGGTGGCAATTTGCTTTGACTAGATCATCTTGTGAAACCACAGCCTTGTCCTCACAGAACTTTCTTTCCAGACTCTCACTACAGGGAGAGACAGGGATGCTTTCATGCCAGCTTCTCATGGTCCTTCATGACTCTCTAATAACGTATAAGCATTCCCTAGCAAGAGATGAAGGCAGTTGCCTATAATTAGTTCTAATCCTTCCACTGGCAAGGATGGCAGGTTTTGAAGAAGGAACAAAGAAAAAAGACATTTATTGTATAATACGGATAGAGGAACAGGTAGACACTCTTCCAAATTTCTCAGTGCTACCTTAAAAAGACTGAGGGTTTTGTGAAAGAATGTATTATACTTTAAACTTATAACAATACATTAAAAACATTTATTTTCAAAAGCTGATAAAAATAATAGCGATTTGCCTTAAGTTACTTTCAGAGTACAGCAAATATCCAGCAGTCTTGATGTAAGGAAACAGTCAAGGATGTAGGAATCCCCCAAAACTTACCTGGAGCGACCACATTGACTCGAATTTGCTTTTTCGCTACTTCTTTAGCAAGGGATCGTGAAAATCCAACTAATCCTGCTTTGGTAGCACTATATACACTTTGACCAGAGTTGCCTTTAAGTCCTACAACACTGCCTAGAAATAAACATCAAAGAGAAGATTAAATTACTAATTTGAAATCTCATACTAGCTTCATCATTTTAGTTTTATATTTGGAATGGAAAATGAGATTACAAGAAAAGGAATTAAAAGTACATTACTAAATGCACTTTATAGCCTACTGCTGGGATAAGCAAATCCCTCAATTATCTGTGATTTTTCTGGAATCCATATATCTTATGCTGACAAACAGGCACCAGGAGAGGAAGATGAAATGCTTCCTAAAAAATATCCTTACACAGGAGAAAAAAAAAAAAAAACAAAAAAAAACAGAAAGAAACCAACTGTACCTATTTATTTGACTCTTAGCTACTGACTAGCAGCTGGTAGATTTAGCTATCGAAAGAGATGATAAAGAATGGTAACATTTTTTTTTCATTCAATAAAATGTGATCTCTGAGGCATTTATTACTGAAACAAGATGGTTTTACATTTAGAAGTTGCTGAAATTACACAAAAGAATAAACATTCATAAAGAAATGCTAAATACAGAATGTCTAATTACAAAGAAAATAAGTCAATTGCAACAAGTGTCATTTTAATATGTTACACGTGCTAAGCCTTCCTAGAAAACTAGTTCATAGAATTCAACTCAGATAAGGAGCTTACCTATATTGACAATAGCACCTCCCTGTTGCTTAATCATGTTTTTTACAGCAGCTTTGCATGTCAACATTGTTCCCAAAAGGTTAGTGTTAATCTGGGCTACCATATCTTCAGGCTTGGTTCTCAGCAACAAACCATCCCTGACAGACAAAAGAAATCCAGAAAGAACTCACTGTGCAACCCCAGTGATCACATTTACTCATAATAAAATACAACTGATGAATGGAGTATCAATGGGGATTTATATGGTTCTATACATTCTAGCATTCAAAATTGTGACACTGCAAGAAAAAAGCTAGCTGTGCTTCTGGTAACAAAGCCTCCTCTGCAGAGTGGTATCAAACATTGTTCTGGATTATTTCAGGGGGAAGAAAGGGAAGAAAGAAGAACTGAGGGGGAACTCAAACTCAGAAGGCAGGAACTACAGTGAAACTTGTATCTTAGATGTCATTACTGTCATCAGGAACAAAACATCAGTGAGCACTTCATGCTGTTTTCAGATGCAGTTATTAACAACACATTACCTGCAAAGGCCCTCAGCACTTTACAATAAGAAGCTGACATCTAGAGTTACATATAATCTTGTAATGAGTAACTAACCTGTTGATCCCAGCTGCATTAACCAAGTAGTTAACAGGACCTAAATTCCTCTGCATCTCCTCAAAAGCATTTTGGACTTCTTGTTCACTGGATACATCGCACTTAATTGCCAGATGCCCTGCTATATTGAAATAAAGGCACATCATGGTAATAGGTCAAGACGGTATGTTGCTCCTAAACCTCCTTCAGAATTTATCAACTCAATTGCAAAACCAGATGTTGAACTAGTTATAACTTGAGGAACCTATTTAATCTCCAGAGAATTAAATACAGACAATTTTTAAGTATTTATTAGTTATGTGACAATTCCTTGTTTTAAACTTTTGGCCTTTTGAAATCAGAAGTTCAGCATGAGCAGATTGGTCTCAGTTCTGGCTTGGTCAGAAGCCAAGGATGACTCAATTCATACCACCTCCCTGTTGTCACCTTGAACAATTCCTTTCATCTTACGATCTGAATCTTGTGGATAGAACAGGCAACATACTTCACTTTCCCAATGAACATTGCAAAAACAAAATTGTACAGCTTTTCTTCCAAATTCCTCAACCTTTATTTTCCTTTTCATCTCATTAAACGATGAGGTTTATTTAATGACTTATGACTTTTACAACTTGCCCAAGCACCGAACAGTGAATAAATAACTGCAAAGCAGCGGCACACTTACCACCAAGACTCCGTGCAGTGGCTTGGGCTGCTTCCAGATTTCGACCAATAATCGCCAGGTGGCAGCCTTTCTGTGCCAGTAATTCTGCGACAGCTTTTCCTATTCCCCGGGATCCTCCAAAAATGGCGCAAACCTTTCCCATCTGCAAAAATAATTCACTATTTATTTATTGCAAATAAACCATGAATTCCAGGTCAGTATAGCAAGGGAATAACCACTGTTCCTGTCAACATTACAGCCTTTACTAGTTTGTAGCACTGTGTAATATCAGATTATAGAATTATTGATGTGTTAATTTCTATTCACCAGAAAATAAATACTTCAACTAAATAAGACACTACTTCTACAAAATGCAATTTAATTCTTAACGATTTATGAACTACTTACAAAATTATGTGTGCAACCTAATATTTCAATAGAACAGAATGGTTTGTGTTGGAAAGGACCTCAAAGATCATGTAGCTCCAACCCCCTGCCATGAGCAGGGACACCAATACTAGCATTATGGTAACTTAACAGGTTGATGAAATATATGATTTATATATCTCAATGCCATAATCTATCATTCAGAAGTTTATTCAAAGCCCCATAAAAGTTATAATTGTATTGTTCTTGCAAACATTGTTACTACACTACAGTCATTTAGCCTCAACATCTCACTCCACCCTAAGTATCTGTGCTGGACATCCACACTGCAAACATTACCGAGCATGACTTGATACTACTGTATTTACACAAATTTACACAATATTGTATTATTTAATACTAAGTTACATTACATAATATTATGTTTTACCACTAGCCCCAGGTTTGTTTCTGCCTTTGAAGAAAAAAGAAAAAAGAAAAAAAGCTTTTTGAAATGTGAAAGGATTCTGAAGTACCTCACTTAGATGTTTAGGAAGGAGTGCAAGAAGAAAGTACTTCTGTAGAATGATCTTTTACCCTGCAACCAATAGAAACCAATCAGCTGTTCTGGGATTTTCTGAGGAGCCAGAGGCAAAATCCAAGCACTAGTAATGACTCTCTTTTCCATACATTTGAATAAACCCTTTTTTAACCCAATTATTCTTTGTTTCCATAACATCCTGAGGCAATGAGTTTCATTATTTGTGGAAAGTACTTCCTTTTGTTCTTAATTTACTGATTAGATACTGTTACGCATTTCTCATATCATCCCCTTACTGTCCATAACTTAAGAGGCTACTCTTCTGTATTATATCGTCCCCTCATGTCCTACTTCAGGTCTATTTAGTTACTCTTTCACATATGGAAGCCATTCTGTACCTCACTAAAGACTGTTCAAGCTCTTAATCCTGCCAACCTACCTGTTGCCTTAATTAGGCCTATTATACTCTTTCTGATATGTGATAACCAGCAGAGCACAGAGTGTTAAACATACAAGGGCACCATCAGCTCATGCAATGGCATAATGATTTTTGGTCTCCTGTGACAGGACCTGAAAGGTCCTTTTCTGTAACAATGGACAGGTATTTGCCTGCTTCCACTGGCAAACTGAAATCTTCCTAAGAGCAGTAAGAGGATTAAATACCTGCATCTCAGGTGGTGGCCCTTTTGATAGAACACATACAAAAAAATATCATGTGTGAAGACAATTCCTTAGTGACAAAAACGAGCACCACTCCCCCACCAGAAAGATTAGTCTTCTGGCTTGTCTTTGCTAGGTAGCTAAACTGCAAGAGATGAATCAAGAGGGCTTGCACCCCTGTAACTACAGCTCCTACTGCCTTAGCAGACTAAAGGCACAATCAACCAACCTATGTTTTATTGAGAATTTCTCTTCTTAGAAACAACGTCTCAGTCTGTGTTCTCCATCATAACTGAGCTCTTCTTTTCCAGAACTGCCACAATGGCTCTAGGAAGCTCTTGCCTACTCATTGCAGCAAAGCTGTACTAAGATTTCCTCCTTCGTATTTTGTTCTTACCAGCATTGGGCACACCTACTCTCTTATTTGAAACACGGAATAATATAGATTAGGAGGGATCTCTGGAAGTCATCTTGTCTAACTCCTCCACCCACAACCAATGTCAAGTGAACCATCTTATGCTGTTTATAAATGCTGACAGACCTAAATATGTATTTTCTGAATAATTCTGAACATGCTCAGGCACACAGGACCCAAAACGCTGCCTGTGGGAAGAAAGCTTCTTTAAAACCTGTCATTCTATCCTTCCGGGTCCCTTTGAGGAGGGGAAAAACCTTATGGATTCTACTCTCAGAAAGGAAAGTCCTTTCTGCATTAACCAGGTATGTACACGGAGAGCATAAGGCCTGCTTCCAACACAGCACTACACAACGTGTGTTTACGCACTGAGGAGCCACACAGGTTCTTCGGAGCTGTGACTTAGGAGAAACAAACTGCACCCGCAGTAACGGTACTATATTCCTCGGTCAAAGAAAGGTGGAGAAATACCAAGTGCCCTTGGAGCACCATGCTCTTCCAGGTCGCCTCACAGAGCACACAAAAAACCTGTACCACCTGTGTCTTCCTCGGCCGTTTTCTTTCACAACACTTTGACCCGTGCCCGGGCCGCCTGCCGCCCACCCCTGCGCGCCCTCGGCCGCCTCAGCCCGCCTCACACTGCCCCTCCAGGGCACCGCCCCAGCCTCCACACTCTCACTGAACCTTTCCTTCCTCCTGCCCCGTTTCGTGGGCTCCCACCAACCTCCTCCGACCCAGGGCCGCACTCCTGGCCCTCCCCGACCGAAGCTCCTCCCGCCTGAAGGCCACCACCCCTGCGGCTCCGCTCCCACCACTGCGTTTGCGCGGCCTCAGCCCGGCTCCGGTCCCGCTCCCGGCGCGTCTCGGCCCTCGGCTTCAAGGCGCGGTGCACGCCGGGACGCGTAGTCAGTGCGCCGCGCCGGTGCCACGGTGGCAAGGCGGCTGGGGGTGGTGTTCGCCTCCCGGCCCTCGCAGAGCGCTGGCGCGCTTCCCCCGTCCCCGCAGTGGGGAAGGTGGTGCGGCACAGGAGTCTGAGGGAAAAACAGCTTTAGGCGTATTTCAATTTACCGCCTGGTTTCTGAGAGGCTTTGTGTTTGCGTTCTGTCCCAGTTCGGCTCAGTTCTGAGCTCAGCACAGGCGGTACGAGTGTACGGAATGATGTACAGAAACCACGCGTTTGCAGAAGCCGCTACTGGTGTAGCTGCTGGAGAGGGAGCCTAGAGGTGCTGGACCCCATCGTGCACCCTCCGAGGCGCGTACTCACTGCATAGGGCATGCTGGCATTACACTCTGGAGAGGAAGACACAGGCAGGCCCACTGCCATGGCTTTGGCCCTGTGTATGCCTCCCTTCTCACAGCTCACAGAGGGACAAGGCCTTGTGCTTTCATTTTACCCTTAGATGAGACATAATTTACTGTGATGGTGGAGAGGCCCTGGCACAGGTTGCCCAGAGAAGTTGTGGCTGCCCCATCCCTGGCAGAGTTCAAGGCCAAGTTGGATGGGGCTTGGAACAACCTGGTCTAGTGGAAGGTGTCCCTGCCCATGGCAAGGCGGTTGGAACTAGATGATCTTTAAGGTCATTTCCAACCCAAACTATTCTGTGAGTTTTAAATTGTGTTTTACTTCTAGGTACCCGAGCAGCATCTGTCTAACTTGTACTGTCCACCTGTACCACACTTCATGCCTACCCGCAGCGTTCATTGCCAGAATTTATATGGGGCACAAAGTAGCTGCCTTACTCTGAACTGGAGCTTTCTGTCCCCTCCTTGTTTCCCCCTTCATGTACAAAGAGGTGTTTCATGTGTAGACACATATACATGGATGAATGAGGATTTTGTCTCCACTTTTCATATTTCCTTGCCCCCAAATCGCTCGTATCTTGGGTGAGGCATCACTACATCAGTAGAGTTCAATCAGAAACACTTAAAGGGTAGATAAACCCAAAATACAAAACACCTGTGAGTTCCCATTTCCAAAAGAAGCTTTATGATACGGAATTAAACTAATGCAAACACCTGCTATGTTTTAACAGTTATACTGTTAACATTTATGTCTGATGATAAGCCGGAGGGGTTTCTGTGGACTCAAGTCACACACAATGGGTAAATTTTTGCCTTAGAAATAATAGTAAAGCCCATCACAATTGTGTATGGGAGTACACTTTTGAATTACCTTTGTTTGTTTTCTGAGAGAGAGAAATTACTATTAACAGGTTCCACAGAGTAACAAGTGTCCAAATAACACTGAACTTTCTGCGAGCTCAGTGGGAGCGTAACCTCGTACAGTTCAGGCTTGAAGGCTGCTATTCAGGATTTCAGATTATAAATGGTTCCAGGGGAGCTGTAGAAAGTTTAATAACATTACCTGTATTTGTGTAGGATTCTTTTTCCGTGTATCATTATGTACGTGCAGAAGGAAAAGGAGATTTAGGCATTGCTAAACAGATGAACATCTGTAAGAAAAAAAGAAAAAGCCTTTCAGAAAAGCTGTTATACAAAATTAGCTTCCTTTAGAAAGTATATTTATATGTATATTGCAAGCTGGTTCTGTTTTCAAAAGAGTAAATGGGATTTTGTGACCCAATGGCATTTCAGAATAGGACATATTCTGAAAAGCCAGAGGTCCCAGTGGTTGAATAAGGGAAGGCATAGAGAGCTGAGACTGTGGCTCAGAATATTCTCTCACTCAGACTTTTGCTTTCTAGCATAGCTAAGGAACAGGATTCACAGGGAAAATTATGGCTTTTTCTTCAGGTGATACACATAAGCAAAGTAACACAAAAGGGAAAAAATTACCCTCAGTGATACAGCATGTTTTCTGAAGATGCAGATACTCCAGAGGGAGTAACTGTGAGCACCGTATTGTATGAGGACAGCAGCAGGCATATTTTATGTGAAAATTTTGTTAGTAGTTATGACTGTAACCTGTTTGTGACCTGTGTTCTCATCCAGAGACCTAACCCATCCTGGTAAGGGATACAGAAAAGCTGGTCATTGCTGTACGATTAGGACTTTGCTGACACAGGGTAAGCTCAAATTTCACTGTATTTTTTCTTTAAACTGTTCTAGAGTTGACAAAGTAAAATATTCTTTTCAAGACTCCAAATCTTGTCAATTAACTTGTTTTTAAAACAAGCAAAACAAGCTGTCTGTTCATTCCTTGGCCAAAGTGACATTAGCTTTTTTTTCCAGATGCTTGGTTAAATCATGAGATCAGATGGTCTAAGCAGAGTTCATCTGAGCCAGTTTATTCACACTGATTTCCCATTAAAGCAAGATGAGCTAGTGGAGCCCAAGAGAGAAACCAGTGTCATACTGAGTACCTCCCCTTTCTGGGGGACAGTAGGCAATACATGAACTTGATCTGATAGAACTGCCCCATCCATCATGTCCAGAGCTGTAACAGCTAGTTCAGTGCTGGCCATTATTATTCCTGTCTTTGCTTTAATGTGGAATTACAAGCTAACAATTCTTGTACAGCTCTATGTGACCACATATACACACATTTGGAACCTGTTCATAATACACAAAATCATACAGCTGTCTTTCCTGAAGCCTAATGCATTCGGGCGTTAAAAACACTCTTCCTAAGAGAGTTTTCATTCTTCTACACAACTGCGATACTGCTTTCAAGTAAATATTTCTCTATTAACAGGGGAAAACCACAATATCCTCAAACAGGAAAGGATGTTTAATGTATCTAAAAGCAGAAAATGCAAATCAAAGCATAACATCACAAAACAGGGGCCACTAGCTATTTCTGTAACTGAGATCCCCTGTATCCGCTATCTGGGTTTTGGATTTGAGGCTAGATTTACAAAGGAATTTGGTGCTAATCATTAACCACATTGGTGCCCAAAACTGTGGTCTCTTAAATTTCCGCCAAAAGTCACACATGAAAGAGTAATGCCACTCAGAGGTCCAGCACCATTTTCACACTGATCCCTATACTGCTTGTGAAAGCATCCCTACCATGTTATATGGGTTTTGCATAAGGCCTGAGACAAAGCAGCTGGAGAACTG